CACACACACACACACACACACACACACACACACACACACACACACACTTTTTCATGTGCGCACACACACACACAGTTTTATGACAGGATCTTTTCACCCTGGAGACAGTAACGCCCTCCCTGGGGATAAGCAGGTGTTATGCCTCGCTGCTTGGTACAGCATGACACACGACCTGAGGTCTACTGTGAGACCAATGGACTTGTTCTTTACACACACCAGCTCTTTTTTTTTTTTTTACAAAATGCATTATCAATGCAGACCAAAAAGGCCATTCGTTATACTATGGCAGCTTCATCAATATGCAGATGAGAAAGAAGGAAATAATGTACTGTTAACGTCTTTATGGAGCCCCACACTTTAAATGATCAACCAGGTCAGAAGTGTCCTCAGGAGAAATATCATTATTTAATTTAATTTAAATAAACAAAACAATGACTTTTATTTTATTAAACTTTTTATTTTAGTCTGTTTTGATTTACCATATACATTTCATAAATTCATTTTTTTATTTGTTATTAATAAAACATCCATCTATATTATAATGCAACATGAAAATGAATAATATCTATATGGATGGTTAATTTTTTCGACGTAACGTGCAACTGGTTTCTCTGAGCATCCGACAACAAGACCTCTGACCTTCTGATCTGGACTAAGGAGGAGAGAGGAGACTAGCGATGTCATGGAAATATGTGCTGGAACTCTTCAGTTCAACATTCAGCAGACTCAAGGATCAAAGAGCAGTCAGGAGGAAGGCGGACTGGAAAGAGAGAGAGAATGAGAATGATTGACAATAGCAGCCGAGGCCCGATTTAACTTTTTAAACCGGGGACAGGCAAGCGGCTGTGGGACCAAAGTGGCCCTGGAGTGCAGTAAAACGTGGCCACTTAAAAAGCATGCCTGTTATAAATCTAAAAATGCATGTTTGAATATAGTGCTGGTTGTGTGCTTTCATTATCTTTGTGTGTGTGTGTGTGTGTGTGTGTGTGTGTGTGTGCGCGCGCGTGCGTGCGTGCGTGCGTGTGTGTGTGCGTGTGTGTGTGTGCGTGTGTGAGAAAGAGTTAAGTGGCCAGTGGTCACATCCTTAGAAAGAGCCTCTGCTGACAGGCTTGGAGAGCACACAGCAGCACAGCCAACAAATGCTGCCACGATTACAGGCCTCCGCTCTCTGGCCACCAGTAGGAGAGTCAGCCGGTCGGCCACACTCGATGACTACGCGGGAAACGGGGAGGGCTGACAATGCAAAAACATAATGAAATCATCCCAAAACAAAAAAAAAAAAAAAAAAAAAAACACACACACACCTTTCACTTTCACTGCTTTAAGTTTCGCCAAAAACTACAAGATTACATTCGAACACATCATCATAACTTTTTTTCCTTTTCACCACTAGTGATTCATTGTTAATATACCCAATCAAAGTAAAAATAAACTTTCCAAACTTCATGCTAAGCTAAGTTGCTGCTGGCTGTAACTTCACATGTGATGAAAGTTATGAGAGTGGTTTTGATCTTCTCATATAACTTCGGGTAGAAAATCAAATGAAACATGTTCCCCAAAATGTTGACCTATTCCTTTAAATGTAAGCAAACCTGAAATGAATATCAAGCAATCCAAAACTGAACAAAGTAATGTACCATAGTAACACACCAGGACCAGTTACTCTGACCTATGAAACAAGGAACCATTGCCTGCAGTTCCCTTTTGCTGCTGGATATAACCTGCTGGCTGGATGGATAACAACCAACAGGCTGATAGCTGACACAGGAACAGCGCCACTCCAAACTCACTCAAATAATGTAAGTTAGCCATACTAACTCATAACTTTACCGCCGGCAAAATACCTCCACTAATTACATTCATGTTATAAACACGGTAGTGTTGTCACAATACCCCCAAAAAACAGGACACGTTTGACGGTGTCAATACAAGGTGGAGAATGTGAAAAGAGGCCAGAAACCAACAGGAGTGAATTATTGTACCATAGTGTGTAAATACATTTTGATATCCAATCAGAACTTGAGAAACTTTTAGTTTAGATCTTTGCTGTTGCTTATAACAGGTTCAACCCGTGCAGGGATAAGTATGAGCAGTACTGCGAGTCCATTTGTTGAGTACCCTCTGAGTGAACTTAAGTGCCCTCTCATAATCAGTAATGCAGTGTATATTTCTAGGACATTTATTGTGAAAGGTAAAAACTGAATACTTTTCTAGTATCGGTATACCATGCAACACTAAACCGCGGTGGTTATGTCAAAGTATGCGACGATCACGCCTCTTTGGAAATGAATACAAGTGTATTTCAGCAGAGTTTCTGACGGCAAGTAACCAGCTGAGAGTGTGTTTTTATTCATTGTGTATTTTACTGATGCTTCCGACCATGAGTAACCATACTTGGGTGTGTTTTTTCTCTTGAATCAGAGTTTATTTTACCAGTTTTTCAGAGTAGCCAGGACTTGGGTGCGTGACGCAACCGTGTCAGGAATGGCAGGTGTGTTGCTGAGGACCAAAGGGAGCACAGTGGAGTTCTTCAGAAAGCTTCGGCCAGTTCTGAACGCTCACCGGACTGGTACTACCAATGTAGAAGAACAAATGCTGCCCTGACTCAGGGATTGAGGTTTAAAGCCACTACCCGGAGCTATCACCGTAGCCGACTGGAAAAATAAACAGACAAAAGGCATTTGCATTCTGTCTACAAAGAGACAAAGCAAGCTCAAACGGCTCGTCTGTGGCTAGTTTGGGGTTGGGCCATATGCTGGGATGAAGCATCACGTCATCGAGGACGCTGGCATGGTCATTGTGTGGCAGAATGCTGAGGAGGTGGCAGTGGGACGTGCATGCGTATTCATTTGTTTGTGGACAGGCTGCATACATTACCACCTACGGCTTGTACAGCCACATCTCCACTCCAAGTCACACACACACACACACACACACACACACACACACACACACACACACAGACACGGCCGCCTCTTCTTTCACAAAACTCAATAGCCTAAGAAAGCCCTTTGTGGTCCGTCGTTGTCGTGACGACGTGCCTGGGTGGAGTGAATAGAGTGGAGGTCTTGCTCTCCCAGTCTGTGGGCATTTTAATCAGCTTGTCACACTGTGGTCTGAAAACACTTCGGCCAGTGATGTTTCGTAGCATTTCTTTTTTTTTTTTTAATGGAGTAAGCACATTTTGTGATTCAGAGGGCTCTGCGAAACATCAAGTTGACAATGAAAAAAAAAAAAAAAGAAGAAAAAGAAAAGAGCGCCATGTCTCAAGACCAACGGTAGCGAACCAGAGTAGTATTACTGCTCATATTCCAGGGCTGAGGCTAGAAAATCTGGTCTGCTGTCTGCCAACTCTCCAGTTTAGTTCCATGGTTATGAAAAATGCAGTATGCTTTCTCCAAAGCCCAGAATAAGCCGAAAGAAAAGCTCCCATGTATTCCCAGAGGAACTGGGATGCTTGAGTTTGAAACAAGAAATCGGAGGTACATGATTTGTTTTATTCATGAATGAGTTTGCGGTTCGTGACCCACGGCGAACCTTTGACTCACAACATGCTAAGTGGAGGCAGCCCCGCGTCCCCTCTTGTCTCACCCCCTCCAGACCAATCCTCTCGCCTGTCCCTCCTTCTCTCCCCCTGTCCGCCGCGCTCGGTATCTCAGGCGCCTATCTGGATGCCATGCATTTTTCTAAATGTTTAGTCAGGGATTCTTTCTGCGGCTGTTGTCCTGTAGTAGCCGCCGCAGCATTATATCATTACATCATTCCTTAACGAGAAAAATATACTCCAGAGGTTACAACTGACCATGTAGGACTTTAAAATTGAACTGAATTCTCCTGATTTTATGAGTAAGCCATTGTTCACTAAGATGATAATGCAGCTACTTAAAGCGTTAACCCTCTGGGTGGGTGGGCCTATTTCCCATGGCAGCGGTTGACTGACATTTGAGAGACGGCGTTGCAACGTAATCTCAAAGTAATACGTGGAATTACCACGACCTCTTAACCGCGCATTATGTAGTGGTGGTAAATGATGTGTCGCCGCCACAGGAAACAAAACTACATTCTATTCAGGAAATAAAAGATCAGGGTTTGGGTTGAAATTACTAGAGATGCACCGATACTGATATCAATCTAAACTTCCACACAGTGAGGCATACAGTTTATTAATTAAACACTGCTTTCTGATCTGTAATCCGTAATGGACAATACACAACAAAGCCCATGTATCAGTATTGGGACTGAAAAAGTCTGATCTGTGCATCCCTAAAAATGACTATATAATTTAAAATAAGTCAACGTTGCCTTCTGGTTACGTAACTTAACTTGCGGAGCAGGCTAGGTTAGCCAACTGTCACTTTGTTAGCCTAGCTTTCTAACAAAGAGACAGTTAGCTAACCTAGCCTGCTACCGTAACACTGGGTCCCACTATGTCACCATGTTCTGCTCTAGCTCTCTTTCATGACTCCACACACAGTGATGGCATATGATGTGGTGTGTCTGTTAGCTTGTTTTCTTTTGTCTTCCTTTGCACTTGAACTAAACTACCTAAACAATTACCACCAACTCTGCTGCGCAGTTATGATGAAGTATCTAATATCCTGTATCACTCGGTCATGTACGTTTCATTATCAGCAAAGGTGTTCGGTCTGTTGAAACAAATAAGCTGCAGCTTGTAGATAAATAAACTTTAGCTGTTCCAATTGTAATCTACTCTTGTTTT